TTTCGTACAAAAAAAAGGATAATATAAAAATAAATAAAAAGGAATTTTAATATGTTTTTTAAATTTATTATTATTTTTTATTTTTAAGTAATTTAATAAAGAAAAATCTTATAACTGTAAATAGAATTTTGAAATTGGTTTTTGTGGAATATTTTTCGTATTTAAATTTTTGTTTTATAATATTAGGAAAAAAATTTCGTTTTGGTTTATGGTGTTTCACATTAAAAAATACCAGAATATTTTGCATAACTACATGATACACACAATTGATTCAGCTTCGTATAACTTTATTAACTATTAAATTTTTGCTTAAAAATAATCTATAACAGTAATATTATATTTGTCATCATAGTCAATGGTAATATTTCTTTGAATATTTATAAAAAAATAGATAAAAATTTTCATTTTCGCCTAAAAATATGCAAATTTAGGTTCCTTTATTTTTATCTCCAAGAGCCAACTCGCTCGTAACGAGTATATTATAATTCTTAATAATTACGCAATCATTTCATATTAAGTTTACGGTAAACCACTTGCAATATGCAAATTTATTGAAAATTTTTAAATATTATATAAAAAAATATACAGCAGGCTAGTCACCTACCTAGTTAACTGTATGACGCTATGAAATTAGTGCATGATATCCATGCACTAGCCCTATGCTCCTTCTAGGAGTGAATAAGGAAAAAAAAATATAAAAAAATTAAATTTAATTCTATATATATAGATTTTATGTTATCATTAACAGAAAAATTTTCGCTGCCTTGTGACAAATTATATTTGAGGAAATCTCAATTATAAGGGGTATTATATTCAAAAATACCTTTCAAATTTCACAATTTGGTAAAAAAAACGAAAAAGTGTAAAAAAAAACATATGTATGTATGAATTACAAATACAACGTGTAGTTGTTTAATTAATAATTAATGTACCTATTATACTAATGTACCTATTAACTTAATGGAAACTTTTTTATACAACTGCAGAACAGATGTATAACGTAAACGAGTTAAATATATATGTATGCCATACCAGATTCCATTTATCCAACAAACTACCTTCATTGATTTTATTCTCATACAAAAATTGGATTTCATACATTTTCCTTCATCGAACAAAATTCACAACACAAATGTTTGATATCGATTCATATCAAACTTTCATGAAATTTTAAACAAATCAAACAAAATTCATAAACAATGTTTAATACGTAAACCCTCAGGTATTCAAAATTCATAATTTCATTTAAAATGTGATTAAAATTGCATTTTAATTATACAAGGTAAGTAAATATGTTTGGTATGATTGCAAACATATTTTAAGTACAAATTAACTTAAAATTTTTTTTTTTATTAAAATTAATAAACTAAAATATTCCTTTTTTAGCCACAAAATTAACAAGAATTTTATTAAATCTATTATTAAATTTCATTTTTTCTTTTATTTTTTTTTTTTTTTTGTTCTTCTAAACACTTATTTATTTTTTGTCTCGTATTGCAAAGCTAACGAAGCAAATAAAAAAATAATAAAAAAGAAAAACGAACGAAAATAATTTTTTTTTTCTTTTACTTCAATATTGTTAGATTTTCTGATTATGCATCAAACCAAAAGTAACAACAGCAAATATTGTAGTCGTTGTATATATACACGGAGTACTATACAACAATCATACAAACAACATATAAAATGTATGCAAGTTTTTATTATTATTGTTGTTAATGTTTTCTTTTTTGTTTTTCTTTCTTTTCAACAGGAACAACAGCAGGTCGATTTTTTAAGCTTCAAAACCGGAATTTTTTAATATGAAATTCCTTTGAAATATATAACTTTTCATACATAAATTTGTATTGTATAAGACATAATATACCATATAATTATTATAATGTGTACAAAGTATATATGTATATATCATATTGTGTACCTTGTGTGTACATAAAAACACTTTCTATATCTCTAAATATAAAAATTAATTTCAACTTTTTTATTCTAGTAAATATATTTAGCTATATACAACAATATGTACGATATAAATATGTATGATATATAAGTTGGAGTGTGTATTATAGGTATATATATGTATGATATGAGTATATTTGTATGTACATGAGTAAATGTAACATATATTCAGCTTAAATTTATTTTCAACATAGGATAAAGTAAAAACAGAAAAAAAAAGACAGAAAACGAACAGGAAAATAAATAATAAAAAAAAAAATTCCTAACAAAAATAAATCTTTAAAGTTTAGGATTTTTTTTTTTTTCGTTTTTTTTTTGTTTTTTACTTTTTTTTTTCAGAAAAAACTTTGTTGTATATTATAAGATGTGCGTTGCACACCTCACCTACATAAACCTGTAAGTAAAGAGTATAACAGTGTTTATTTTGTTATATATGCAAGTATATGTATATAAAAAAACGTACCCAGTAGATATTATACACAATAGTATTGCATATGATGGGTTTTTGTAAATATACATGTATACATATTTAATTTTTGGGGTAATTTATGTGTCTGATATTATATTTATACTCATCTTATATACATTATATACGTATATCTTTTGTATATGAATATAAGTACTTAAGTATTATAGAAATGATGAACATCGAGTATAATAATATGTATATATGTTATACACCACCAAATGCATGTGTTATACTTATATAATTTTGTATATCTTAATATTACTGTCAAACATTGTGGAACACAAACATAAAATGTGAAGTTATATAGTACAAATTTTTAGGAAATTTTTTAACAAGAAAAAAGAAAACATTTTTAAAAGTTAAATTTTACCTAACTTTTATAAGAATATTTTTTGTTTTTCTAAAATCTAAAAGAAAGTACTTAATATTTTTAATATTAATGAAAATTTGGTCTAAAAGAATATCAAATGATTTTAAAAATATTGTAGAAAAAAACTTGAAATTCGAAATCTTATTATTTAAAATGTTAAATTCAAATTCGAAATTTTAATTTAAAGTTAGAGACTATAATTAGTTAGTTAGAGAGGGAAGGTAGCTGCACCCTCAACGCTGTCACTCAGTGTTGTCACTACTCTCCTGTAGAGGACTGTATCCTATTCCCTAAATCCATCCAAGTCACTTTAAGAAATTCAGCAAATCACACAGGAACAATGTAACACATTCTATTAATGTACAAAAAAATTTTCGCACTAAAGCATTGAGCACAAGTTGATATAAATTTAATATAGTTTCCAAATGGTGTCAATGTTTATGAAAGCAATAAAAAGAACTATTATTGGCAATATAACAGTTACGTATAAATGAGAAGAAATATCAAAATTTCCGGCAGTTAATCTAAAATAAAAGCAAAGAGACTAGCACGTTTAGGCTTCGGCGACGAGAAAAACTAAACTCTTAACATATTTTTCGAATTGAAATGGTCGAATTCTTAACTAAAAATGTAAACTTAAAAACTTATAAAAAACACCTACAATTAAGTTGCTTTCAAAATATACAGGACTTTGAACATTCTTTAAGAAAAAAATATATAAAAAATGTCGTAAATAAGGATTGCCCCAATTTGAGAACAACAACAACTGATTAGTTCTTTTTTATACTTTAAAACTCCTGTTACTTTTCTTTTATAAAACAAAAAAAAAAAAAAATTTTTTTTCCGTGTTATTTTTTCGGTTTTTTTTTTTTTTTTATTTTCCTTTAGAAGTTTCATTTTTAAAGCATGCAATCCAAAGATATTTTTTGTATATTTTCAAATAAGTTGAAATATCTGGGACGTATATGTATGTGTATATAAAAATATGTTGACATTATACGGCATACCGATGTCTATACTAAAAACCCTAAGAACATTATTTTGTATAATAACATTACATACGTACATTCATACGTGTATATTTTTTTTTCAATTCAACAACAACAATAAAAAAAAATTTTTAAATGACGACCAAAGTTAAAAAAAAATAAACGCAATACGAAATAAGTATAAAAGAAAAATTTTGTCACAATGGAAGACAGAATTCTCAAAAATCACGAGAAAAAAACGAAAATAATATTGAAATACATGAGATCGACTCTAGTTCGGCGGCTCCTAATTGACAAAGAAGCATAATATGAAGTAAATTACTTCATAATTAATTAATTAAAATTTATTAAAATTAAAAATCCAAAATATCAATTGAAATTCAATACAAATGAGATAATGTACGTACACGAATATTTACGACGTCGACTAGTGACATACTACTCAATATCACGAAATTTGTTACTTCCTTGTAAGCTACTCAGCAGTCAGCACTTGTACAGAGTTTTCTATAATATTATGGAAAATTCTCTTCAAATCCAATTCACTCGAGTGAACGAAATGAAGAGTACGTATAAATGTGACAACAATGTTATATTAAATTCTTTTTGATAAGACGTAACCAATTTAAGACGCTTGTCAAACATATTCATTACGATTATTAATTTTCAATTTTAATTATTATAATATTACAAATATATTGCGTAATAAATATTTTTTAAATACAAAAATTTATTTCATCATTCATTTTAGTATTTGACCCACTTTCTACATTATATACTAACATACATATATATGCACATAGTATGAAATTAAACATTATTACAAAGAATCTTTTATAATAATATATATGTGTCAAAATTTCCATATGTTTCGGATCAAATTTTAAAATAAATAAAAATAATTAAATAATGATTACAATAAAGTAATTATATTTGAAAAATTTATTAATTAAATAATATTAAATATTATTTAAACTAACAGTTTTTTTCAGTGTGCATACACAGAAAATATCAAATATTTGATCATGTGGAGGCAAAAAATTATTGTTTAAATTTGTTCTTTTTTTTATTTGAATATGAAAATAAAGTATTTAAATTTGTTTCAAATTTAGCTTGTTTCCGTTCCGACTAGATGTACTAGAGTGAAACGTCTTGTAAACCTTTAAGGAATAAATATGAATGACATATATTTCAAAAATACGTAAATTACACTCCAAGAATAGACCGAGAAATAAAATAAACAAAAAGTTGACATGAGTTGTCAACGCATTTGACATATGGAAAAGAAAATAAGAATTGATTTGAAACATCACTAGAATTGCATATTAAGTAAATTTGAGATTAGAATTTGCATATCCCCTTAATTTACTCATGTAAACACTATCTGTCATTTCTAGTTTGACATTTATGGAATGTCAATTCTTGAATTTGAAATTAAAGGTAGTTGCCAAAAATATTATGAATGTATCCTAGTACTGTTTTAGAATTAATCATTTCATCTGACTTAATCAGCTTTAATATTCTAAAAACTCAGTAATGTTTGTATTTAATTTCGGCACTCTTCTGTGACACTTATATTTTACAAATAATACTTTTCGATCTAATATTATGTGTTTATGCCTTTCGTGCTATGGAAAAAATATAAATACATGTATGTATATATATTAAAGGTAAACTATACACTACACATGATTATATGAGCCCAATGAATATAAGAACGCGGCACGGCAGACAGACGATCAAATGAGGATTTCTTGTTTTTGTTTTGTTTTTTTTTTATTTTGTTCCTATTCTTTCCTTATTTTTGTTATTATTTTTATGGTTTTTTACTTAATGTTTGACTTTTTTCTTTTATTAAATAAAAAAACAAAAACATAAAGTTAAAGTTCTGATGATGAAGGTTTCTGGTTCTATTCAGTTTTTTTTTCTTTTTTTTTTTTTTAGTCTTAATTTTTGTTCTTCTATCCCACTTTTTTGAAAGTTAACTCTTCGATTTTTTTTTTATTTCTATGCTTTTTTAATGCTACCAGTGCTGCTATGTTGGTTATTATTCTCTTTAAATCTTTTTACTTTTAATATAACTGATTTGGTTGGACCTTATCCATATACTCACTATATACTCATAAGTTGTATACAGTTTTGTTTTTAATATTCGAATTTAGAAAAAAAAAAATAAGCAAAACATTTTAAAATGGTTACAAAATAAAAAATTACAAAGAAAAGTTGAAAATAATAAAAAAAAAAAAATAGAAAAATAACAGCAAATAACAAACAACAGTATCAGCATTCAGCAGTACCAATAACTGCAACAAACACTGAAAAAAAAAATAACAAAAATTAAAAATATGGAATGGGTTTTGATAGACGAAGGATGTTGTGTGTAGGGAAACCAGTTTTTTTCTTTATTATCTGAACTAAATTGATGTTGTATACAATCATATGAAAATGAATGTTACTTTTTTGCCATGCTTATACAGATTTCATGTATGTATGTACATGGATGTATGCAATGCACATTCTACACACACTGTATATATATACTATTATTTATATGTATATTTATTTGTGAAGAGTAGTCAGTATGTCATGTACTTTATAATAGCTGTAGGTATTTTCTTTAAGGAAAGAAAAAATTTATAATGTATGTTAAAATATAAAAAAAAAAAATTCAGAATTAAATAGAGTGAAAAGAAATGTTTTTCATCTTCTATCTTCTTTCTTTTTTTTTAAGAAGATGGCACATTCTTATACATTATTTAATATTCTAAATTTGTAAAAAAATTCTTTTATGCGGAAGATAAGCTGCTTTTACTTATATATATATATATATATTTACAAATGAGAATATATATGTATATGAAAACGAGAATAAGTAGCTGTGACAATTCTGTATTAACCGTGTCAACTCTGTGTTACCCGTCCAAATAAGTGAGTCTATAAATTGTGTGATAATCACCACACTGCTTCAGATTGCCATACGCTTTTTTGTTTTAGAGAATTTGTTCTGAATACAACTTAAACTGTGCACAATAGCTTTTAATATATCTTAATATATTCAAATAACTTTCGACGTAGTTCTATAGCAATCGGAAAAACTCGTACGAACTCTAAAACTTTTAACGCAAAAAAAATAGCTATGCAAATTTCGATGCTGTTACATCAATGGTTTCTGAGAAATAACCTAAAAACTTTAAAAGTTTTTAGCTATTATAAGGGTTCATAATCTCAACACCTTTCACCGGAAATAAGTATTGTGTATTTGTAATATTGTTAACATGTTGTGATACAATTTCAACAACTTTTATAAGATATAAGTTCTTTTTCACGAATTTTTATCATATTAGTATATTATATCATAAGCATATTATTGTTCGTGTGAAAACAGAGTACTGTACGTCGAACGGTTTTTGAGATATGAACGATCGGCTTTTTAAATTGTGTGCAATTACCCGAACAGCTGTCCCGGTTAGACATTTAATTTAGAAGCGTTCAGATAATTGCTATATTCAACCATTTTCAAAAATTTAGTGAACTTAACACGACTTTACCCAATTCGTGTTATCGTTGACACGGAAAGCGTCGCAGTCGTTATTTCTTAACGTCGTTTATATAGTCGTTATTTCTTAACGATATTTATAACAGCCTTCAAACATACGTTAGTTAAAATCATTATTTCAATTGGCCGACCTCATCAATTCAATTGAAGTAGTTGAATAGGCTTTAACATCAAATTTCAAGTATCCAACCACATATAGACCTAATTCAGTAAAACATAAAGGAAAATAATTGTGAGTATATATGCAAGTATTCAATTTTATCAAAATTGCTTAATAATTTCCCTTTAAAAAATTATTGAATGTTATCAAAATTTACTTGTTTCGGTTACAAATTAAAATTTTGATTAAATTTAATTGAAATCCACTTTTCAACGAATAGTGATAACCTTTGTACGATATTTTTTTATCAAATTAATGGTTTCGAAATTTGAAATTTATAAATAAAATAGTCATCTTATCTTCATTATTGAAAACCGGGGATAATTTACTAGACTAATTAAAAATCCAATCATTAAAATAATGAAATACATATACCTATTTTCCTCAAAGAATAGAAACGTAGGCCGCAACCAACTGTTATTGATCTATTCCAGTAAATAATATTGTACTTGGTGGAGATACGTACACGCAATATATATATTATAAAAAAATGATAAAAAGCTAATAACAGAAGTACGAAACCGTAGACTTTTATTGATCGCTTCTTTCTATTCCATTATTTTGAAAAATATTTCGACAACTTGTAATTAAAACCAAGAAAATAACTCAGTTTCATCATCTTTCAACTGTGCAAAAAAAAAACAAATAGTTTTTCATTGAAGCGTCATAACAAAAGACCAACTACATAAAAAGTTTTAAACAGGAAGGATTCTCATACATATAGTAAGCATAAAAAAAAAACTTAATTTTTTTACTAAATATAAGCATGAACGTGTTACCCTTGTATTCTTTTCTAATACCACCTTTATACATACTCGCACACGACCAACACATAGGACTGCCACATTATTATGCAAATATTAGAACAAAATAAAATATGAAAATGAAAAAAACAAAGGATGTTTAGTAAGTCTAATATAAAATAATATTTTTATAATTAATTAGTTATTCCAATTTAAATAATAAACTAAGTTAAGTATACTTAAACTATATGTAGTAAGTATGGTTAGAAAATATCCCAGGAAATTCCGGCGGATAGAAAAGGAAAACAATACGAGTACAACAAAATAAAATTTAACTTTGTTCCTGCATAGAACTTTTCTGTATAGGTCGTATATAAGTTTGATTTATAAGTATATAAATAATTCTATGTGAGTGTGTGTGTTCTGGTTTTTTCGATATTAGTGTTGTCGTTTCCTTTTTTTATAAAATTCTATGAGTATTTTGTATGTGTGTGATTTATTTTATTTCTTTTTTTTGTAGTTAATTATTTTCAAGAGCGGAGTTCAAGGTTTTTATAATATTTCATTGCCTTTCATGCTTATTCAGGATACTTTTTTTTTTCAATATTATTTTTTATTCTCGGAATTTTTAAATAAGTATATTATTTTCAGGGTTATATAATATATACGAACACAACACAGTATATATATAGTAAAAGTTCATTATATCTTTTATAAAAGTTAAAATTTTAATATTTGATTATTTTATTAGTATAATGCACACATATGGAACGAAAATAATTTGATTTAAAAAAATAAAATAAAGTGAAAATTCAAAGAAATTATTAATTAATTTTTATTTTATATAAGTTTGTATATACATTATATTTGTATATATATAGAGAAAATAATGGAAAATCTATAGGTACTTATGTGAATAATTTTCACATATATACGGAAAATAATTTTTGAATTATGAAAATAAATCCGTCGGTATTCAGTCTAGACAAATTATTTCATATCTTTTTGTTTACAAAAAATTTTTTAAATATTTAAGGAAGTTGTTGTCAAAAAATTTAAGTAATTGAAGTTTATTTTAAATAAAATTAAAATTATTATTTTAAATATTAAATGAAAAATTAATTTTTATAATCACACCATAAATACAGTAAATAATAGCACACAATAAAAACAAATTTGATATTATAGCGGCGTGACATTGAAAAATTTAACGAACTAAACGAAATACTCATGTTTTATTTAATTTTGGAATATACACAACCTAATGATATTACTGAACTAAACCAATTGCCTTTAGTCAATTGTTGTAATTCAGAAAATTAACATTGAAAAATTTAACGAACTGAACGAAATTTGACGAAGATTTATTATTAATTGTTATTGATATACAAAAGTTTTCTATTCAGTTCGTTAAGTTTATACACAAAAATTGCAGTACTTTTGTAAATGTTAATATAAACTAAATAATATAAAATTATCTCAAATTAAAATAAATATTAAATACGTTGTAAATAAAATAGTTGCCTAAGAGATGTTTAGGGCAAAGTAGAAAAATATCAAATAAATAATCTTTATAATATTCTAGAAAAACTACGCAACATAATAAAATATTTTCCAATATACTTATTTCAAGGAAATCTTTATATTTATTTAAGAAACAAATAATTTTTGTAAGAATAAATCATTTTAATTATAAATTTAATTATTTAGATACGTAAAAATAAGTCCCAAATTAATTTTATTGCGTATTTACAAAAAATATCATACGCGCCCCCGTATATTTAGGTGGATAATAAATATCAGAAATAAGTACGTTGCAAATTTTACATATTTATAAAATAATTTGAGATTTATTCTTAAATTTCATAAATTCATATAAGTTCTCTATAAAATTATAGAAATAGAATTTTTAATTATATTATAAATTAATAGCGGAATGCAGGCTAATTATTTAAGGATATTCAATAATTTAAGGATATTCAATTATTTTCAAAATCAAATTAATTTTTTCTTTTCAAACAAAAAATTTTCAACAAATTTCTAAAAACAACCAAGTAAGTACTTTGGAATTTTGATTTAAAAATTCTTCTAGTTCTCTTTTGTTACAAAAAGTGTCAGTATCAATTCAAAATAATTTTTGTTCTACGTAAAATTTCCACGAAAACTTCACTCTATTTAACATTTGTACATACACATTACATGTATACAAAAGTATTTGTATGTAAACAAATTTTTAAAATGAATATTAATGTTTTACCGTTAGAAAAAAATGAAAAAACCATAAAATTGAGTACCTTTTTCTGTGTTCTTCTCCTACCGAGAAATTTCATAAGAAAAATCACTTTTGTTTTTTTTTTCGAAATACACACATCAAGGTGAATTTATTTAACAAGGGTATTTCATCACCATTGTTCTACAAAAATTTATCCTATTAAAATTTACGTACTTCATATAGTATGTATGTATGTATTTAAAAAGCGTGATATAATAAACAACAAAATTGAAAGTCAAAAAACAAAAAAAAAAAAACAATTATACAAAAGGAAAAAAACAGGATATTTTTATAAGCTTTTTGTAAAGAATTTTAAAGATTATGTAAGAGAAAAGTTTGTTGAGGTTGAGGTTGTTTTGGCGGTTACTTTGACAACTAAATGATTTTACATTGTTAAAATCACAATGTACATGTTATATAAAAAGCACTTACTTAAATTCATAGATTTAGTGATAATAAATTTTGTTTTTGCAGTCTTGGCAAAGCGTAAAATTTAATTAACAAATAAAAGAAAAAATAAAAGTGAAAGTCTACACACGTATTTAAGAAATTTTGTTTTCTAGTACTGCATATAAACTCAATTT